CGGGTTGTGAAGGCGACAACTCGACAAGTCGACAAAATCAACCCTACAACGCGACAAACTAACCCGACTATCGTCGCCTTCATTTTGTCGACTTGTCGTGTCAATTCTGTCGACTTGTTAAATTTGCAGCTAACGACCCATAAAATTAGGAATCTATATTTTAGAAGAGTCAGTTATATATGTTGATATGACGTATTCTAATGTATGCTTTTAATACATCTATCATAATTGAGAATACACTATGCTAGCTTAAATCCCCTTTTCTTAGGATGTTTCTAGGCAAGTTACTTTTACGGAATACACTAAAGCTCTTTCTTGGCCACATCCCAGTTTCAAATCTCCCTGACTTTTGCCAAAAATTAGGAGTAACTTACTGTATCGCTGGTTTTCTAACCGGCAGGTCTGCGTCCAGCATGGCTTCCCCAATGTCCAATGTACGGTGGTGTGCACGTAATGAAACCTTTGTCAGTTGGAATTTTAAATAAGAGTAGGCCGTGGAGCCGCTGTCTGGACAAAATTTCCCTCATAGCACACTGCATTGGTGCAGAAAAGTAGCTTGCTTGATAAACTATGCCGAAGTTTATTTTTGTCGCCATACTGGCTAAAAAATTACCCCAGACTTTTCCAGCGTGATTTCACCTTGTCAGTGGTGCAGGACGCGAGTGGGGATGGAAGTGATGGAAGTGAACAGTGTCTAGTCTTTCTGATGTTACGGAAAACCGTCGTCCCGTGTAAGCGTACACGTAATGGAACCCTAGATGGAGTTTGAAATAAGAGTAGGCCGTATCGCCGCAGCCTGGGCAAAATTTACCTCATGGTAGACCTACACTGCATAGCGTATGCCCGTCTTCATTGATGCAGAAAAAGTACCTTGCTTGATAAACTAAGCCCTTGTTTAAATAAACGTGGTCTATCTCCAAAATGTTTGTTTTTGTTTATAAAAAGTATATAATTTCTAATAAAAACAATATAGTTTCTAATTAACAAAATAACGTATTATCACCAGACACGTTCAAATAACGACATATAAATGATATGTGATTGAAAATGAAATGGGGTTTAACGTTCATTTGTTCTGCTCTAACTGGGCTAATGAAGACGGGCATACGCCATACAGTGTGCTATGAGGAAAATGTCGTCCGGACAGCGGCGCTACGGCCTACTTTTATATCGAATTCCAACGCCAATGTACCAACACGGGACCTCGGTTTTTCGTACCATCCGAACGACTAAATAGCTGTCCTTGTCTGGCCCTCCTTCCTGCACCACTGACATGGGGAAAACACGCCGGAAAACACATGTGAATTGAACTTAAGAACCTTCACGCTTTCGCACTCTAGCTCCCTCGCCTTGACGTCTCGTAAAGATTATGAAATGGCCATAACACGCTGCCACGCTTAATCGAAGAATGCTCATGCGCACTGATTGAATTCCGATGCGACAGGTCGACAAGTCGACAAAGCAAAAGAATAGTATTTTGTCGATTTGTGGGTTGTGAATAATTCGAAGGCGACAAGTCAACAGAATTGACCCGACAAGTCGACAAAATGAATGCGACGATTGCCGGGTTGATTTTGTCAACTTGTCGCTTTTACAACCCAGCAAGTCGAGAATGTAGAATCGCTGCTAACAGCCACCATACCTTTGACTGAAGTTAGACTGAACAAATCATTCAGTGTTTTTTATAAATCCATCATTTCAGAAATTCATAGACATTGTTTAAGTACGTACACTTTAGTTTCTCAAAGGCCTGGCGTTGACGGTACATTGCGTGTACGAAAGATGCATGTAGCATTATTTTTTACCCGAATAAATACTACCAATTAAAACGCAATAGGTAACACAAGTAATTAATTGTAAACCACTGGTTTACATATAATTTGTAAATACAAACGAAGACAAGAACATGTTATAATCAATATTACTGCCCACCCGCAGCTAACTTCAAATATGTATATGTGGGAATGAATTGTAAATTGTAAAAAATAAATCATGCCTTGCTTTTCGCGGTAATATAAATATTTTCTGAAATCTACAACGAAATGTCATCACAATGTCAAATTTTACAAATGAATTTAAAGCATTAAACTTTATTATATTATATGACTGTCGTGGAAAACATGATTAAGCAAAATGAACATGATAAATATCCTTGACCATCTCGGTGGTATTAACCATGTACATTATTATGGCACTACAACATCAAAGCTGGCGATGAAAAAAACTGTTAACATCGCCATTACGTCCCTGCTACTACATTTGTCCTCCGGTCAAAAGAAGTCACCATAATCTCACTTAACTTTAAGGTACCTCCCATAGGTTATTTAAAGTTAAGTGGATTTTTCTCACTTAAGCTGGCCTTTGAATACCACTTAAAGACTAACACTTAAAAGTTAAGGCAGCTTAACTTTAAGAGAAAATTTGATACTTAACATTGCCATTGAATACCACTTACCCTTAACTTACAGGAAGTTACGTATATTTAAGTGAAATCTAGTAGTTAAGTGACTATCTTAGACTTAAGATATCCTTTGAATACGGACCCAGCTTAACTTTAAGGGAAAATTTGATGCTTAACATTGCCATTGAATACCACTTACCCTTAACTTACAGGAAGTTATGTATATTTAAGTGAAATCTAGTAATTAAATGACTATCTTAGACTTGAGATATCCTTTGAATACGGACCCAGGGCGATGTTTACATTCTTCAGATGATAATTGTTCCTGTAAGTCCAAACATTCAAAGCTTTTAACTTTCGTTCAAATATATTTTAGTGTTCAGATACCGAGTTTCATGGTATAAATTACCATATGACACCAGGTCCTGTAATAATAATTTTAAGACAAAAATAAAACCTATGCCTGTATTTCTCCGTTTTAGATTAATATATATATATGTATATATTATATATATATATATAACATTATTTATGAATAGTCCCAAGACGGACGAAAAGTACTTTAAAATGTTAAAATGTTATTAAGCCAGTGTTGAAATCAATTTCCGTCAGCATATATTTTATCTTCTAATCGTTTACCGTGAAACAAAGTAGTACAGCTTTACGGTTGTGATAATATTATTTAGCACATATATAATCTGAAGACGCCTATAGAGGGCAGACAGCTAGCTTATATGATTTAATGTATGTCAGAATGTGGAAATGTCCATTTGAATGATTGATTGAAAAATATGATGTGTTGCAAATGGTACTCCATAGAAAAGAATTTGCCCCACAAATTATATCTAGATAACACATTCTTTATCACGTGTATCTTTGTTTGGGCAACCAATAAATATTGTTGACTTTAAATGTTCAATGAATGCAGTTGAGTTTGGACGAGCCATACCAACTCTAAATAGTACAAAAGTGTTATTGTGGCTGAATAGATACAAATTAGATTTATTATCATCTCACAATTATCACACAACACAACAATATGTTATTTTATTGTTTAAAGTAGCTAAGTCTCTAAACCAATATCATCCAAAGCTTTCCACATTGAAGATACGAATTATTTGTCAATTTAAATCAATATTGATGTTGTGATCTTGCCGGTAAAAGATGGGCTTCTGGTATCCAATATTTTAAGATACATTCCCGCATATAAACTTTGTGATTTGATGATATATTTGGACTAAAAACATATTCAAAGTAACCAATCTATAAAAAATTTGCTTCAATTCCCTTTCAAAACTTTGTATTCGCCGGGGATACCTATAGCTATAAGTAAGCTTTTGTTAGACGCAATGTCTGTCAACTTAGCTTCATTGTGGGAGGGTCCATTTTTCAGAATGTATTTATCATTACTTACTGTACATTTACCATACATATTAAGGCCAAGGTAAATTCTTAATTATTTCTGTCAACTTCTTTTTCCGCCGTTTAATTGCAGAGTCTTTTGTACGTTGATACCCATCAATGTTCCCCAAACCGCCTAACCATTTGATCAAGAAATAACAACCGCTCCCTCACTTAAGCTGGCACACAAGAAGGTGGCAGATAACAGTCGTCGGGTTGCCAGTTAGTGATATCCTGACAATTTTGCCCAGTGCTTGCCCCATGGGCGTTTTTCGGGTAATCCTGTGTTTTTCTAGTAAGAATGGGTGTCTATATTTTTCATATATACCAAATTTGACATACTTTTATTGAAAATAACCACCCGATAAATACTTTTCTGGGAAAGTATCTTTAAGACAAAATAAACATTTCACCACTGGTACACGAATCGTGTACCATAATGCACTTCAGCGCTATTTGTAACATGAGACTCGAAGAACGAGGCTAGACATAAGCGCAATGAATGCTTCATATGCAGACTGGAATAACCATACGCTAGAGACTGCCATTCGATTGAGACTTCTGGCGTATTTCACCGAACATAACTGATTTGAAATTAGAGTAAAAATGGAAAGGACTGAATGTAAATCAGTTTATATACATTCATATTACATTATTACATGCGTTTGTGTCAATTTCTAAGTGGGGATCAAGGTGGCTAAGTGGGTAAGTCGCTGGCTCGCTAGCCTGGAGGTCGGGTGTTCGATCCCTGCATTGGCCGAGAAAGTTCATCCCGATTTTCTGGCGTGGTTCCCCTTGTCAGTGATGCAGGACGGAGGGCCTGACAAGGACAGCTGTCTAGTCGTTCGGATGAGACGAAATACCGAGGTCCCGTGTACACATTGGCGTGCACGTAAAAAATCCCTTGACAGATAGAATTCGATATAAGAGTAGGCCATAGTGCCGCTGTCCGGGCAAAATTTCTCTCGTACCACACTGTATGGCGTATGCCCGTCTTCATTAGCCCAGTTCGGAGCAGAACAGTAGGACGTTAAACCCCATTTCATTTCATTTCATTTCAATTTCTGAGTTCCAAATATTAGCGATTTAGCTCCTTTAAGTACAGATATGCTATTTTAAAATTTCTCAATTCATGACACTATATCTGCCAATCCCAGTTTATTAATGCATATAATTAATATATTCAACTTTAACTTACCAAAGAGATGTATATTTTTCATGTACACGACTATAATATCAGGTCCAGCTGCTATACTCAACTTCACACAACGAAAGCAACGCACCGATTACAATTCACTGTTGACGGGTCGTTATTTTGCACCTGCAGAGTGTTTTTGTTGCGTTGAAACCGAATGGGTATAACTTATATAGTATGATCAGGGGTCACCAAACTTTTTTCATAGTGGGCCAGGTATAACTGAAAGAATGTCGAGCGCGGGCCGGATCTTAGTCCTTGTCACATGGTAAATATCTAGTAAACATCTCCCAGTATCGATAGTACATAATCAAAACAACGGTAAATATCTAGTAAATATCTCCCAGTAAATATATATACAGACGTTCATGTGAATTATACAAAAATTGATAGTGTACTTACTTGTAACATCCGTGCAAATGAAATGAGAATCCCGGTGCAGGCGCAGTACATAATCACAGAGTAAAAATATTTTTACTCTGTGACATAATGTTTAACTTTCTATGGTGTACCATTTCGGCCAATGTATGTCAACCTGAAAACGTCGCTCGTCGAAAACTTCACGCGTCGTGCGTGGCTTTTTCTCAATAGTATTTCTGCATTAGATTACATACACGCCAATGTTTACCGTTAACGAATTTCCATTGGATCAGAAATGAAATGAAAGTGAATAGGGTTTAACGATCTACTGTTGACTCCAACTGGACTAATGAAGACGTCTATTTTATCAGAGTATGACGATTACCTTGGTTATCTAAGCTATAATGTGTCAAATATAGTTAACATGTCTGTATAAAAACTATTATTTAGACATTTAATAGCACGGCAAGCCCATAATTAACTCTCTAGACTATCGGATGACAGAGATTAAAATGGATTAGAACGATTGCGAGATTGAAAGTACCATAAAATGGATAATTGAGACTTCGTCTCGTTTGTCTAGTACCGTTACTATGATAATAAACAATCTGCGCTACCTCTTCCAACACTCATAACTTCGCTCAGAACAAAGTAATTTCAATGACATTTTCAATTTATTCACTTTTCATTATGTCTTTTTCATTATAGCAAGAACGGACAGCTCTTTATCTAAATCGTATATAATGCATCATTAATAAGGCACTTTATTATATGCCATCATGCTTAGACCCTCTCGGTGTATTGGTCGTAAAAAAGGAGTATTTAGTTATAATATATTATATCCCTTTTTCTTAATTTAAATCTTATTATTTTGTAGTTGTATAAATTATATTTGATAAATTTACGATATTTTTACGATATGTCAATACTATAGAAAACAATTAAATAACTTTTCATTTTTTAAATTATTTATTTCCTCACCAATGCTTAATTCCACCTAAAACAACAAACAGAATTAGAATATTATGTTAAAGGCGCTAAACTCCCAACTCAGTATTTTCCATTTCAATCAATGTTAATGTTGTTATGTATATATGTCTTTGTAGTTTAGGAGGGACCTATGGAAGATTAGTTTTTTTTTTGCAAACTAAATACGTTGCCTCATTAAATAAAGTTTTTATTATTATTATTATTATTATTATTATCTTGCCGTGAAAATATGGAATCCAAATACCCAATATTAAAGACACAATGGTCATTTAATAATCACCAATCGAGAGAGAGAGAGAGAGAGAGAGAGAGAGAGAGAGGGAGAGAGAGAGAGAGAGGTTGGGTTTAACGTCTACTCGACACAAACTAGGTCATTTCGGGACTAACACATGGTTCAATTTTATTTCAATAATTCGCTTGCGCGTAGGGGTCTTTAGCAGTGGGAGGAAACCAGAGGACCACAAGAAAACCCACGAGGTTGGACAGGAAACCCTACTTCTTGTCACGTACAACTGGGGAATCGAAACCACGCCAGTTGACTCAAAGTTAGACCTTATGATACAGCGCACACGTGCTAACCATTTGCCCCCCCCCCCCGCAATCACCAATCGAGTCGTGCATTCTATTAGGCTGGGCAAGTTAATGCCAAAAGTGAAGTAACCCGAAACTAGAGCTGGGAGATCTCCCTGGAATCAGCTGTCTCGATATTTTCAGTTTATATCCTTTTAAATATAAATAAACATGCATAAATAGTTGGAAATACCCCCGGAGTATTCACTTGACACTTTCTTTTCAATATTATTAAAAGTTCTTAGCATAAATTCAGTACCGAATTTACAAATGTTGTTGTTTATAAAATTTTGATTTCCAATACATTAATTATGATATTTTATTTAAATTAAAAAAATATTTACATGTGAAGGAGGCACAAAAATAAAGTAAAAAATAGCCACGGGTACGATTGGATGCTATTCATTTACCCTTGAAAATTTGTGTTTTCGCATTAAAAGTATGCCTTCTTGAAAATGCATTAATTTACAATACAAGAATGCTAAATTAAACTATAAAACAGAAGTAGTGTGTCAAAAAGTATCGATTGATTTAGTCAAATATCAAATAGAAATTTTTCGGATCATGGACCTCCATGACACTTCTGACGCTGAATGATAAACAATCTACCGGTAGTTGGCATTATTGACATTTCAGTTTTATTAAAATGTATTTCAATCAGAAAATCAATGATTCCTTTGGAAAATCAAAGTATCGGTATAAACAATTCATCAAGATGCATAGAAATTTAACAGAAGCTTGGATAATCCTTACGGTATCGGTCAGGTGGAAAAGTGAGCGAGAAGTCATGTGACGAAAACAAAGCTCTTTATTTAGTGGGTTTTGCAAACTTCGTGAAATGAACACTCTGGAGATTATAATAGTATTTATTCACCATTAAGCCATAAAATGTCGTAAATAACATAAAAAGGAAGAATGTTTTTAAATATTTATGTTAAACACCATCCACAAAAATCAAAATCGCGATATATCGCGATAGCCTATGTTCGGTTTTCGATATTTTTCTGAAGACGGTATTTTCGACGGTTTTAATTTCTGTGGTGGTTTTATATCGAAAAACCGAAATATCACCCAGCTCTACCCGAAACAAATTGCAAAAGAAACCAATGCAGTTGGGTTCAGTCAAAGCGAAATGACGTAATTAACATAATTCAATATATGGCGGTCTCTAGGAAGATTCTGAGAGCGATATATCTTGTAACCAGTGCGTTTCAGTGGTGGGACAATAAATAGGGTTTTTTTGGGTTTTTTTTAAATCTTACAATACAAGCTGGTGTTAGAAGCGAAATGTTTCGAAAATAACAAATTTGACAAAACCAATTTTTAAAAATGTATTTTTCACATGGTGCCGGCCTTTTATTCAAAATGGCTGCCAAGGGGTGTTTTTTTTCCTCTGTGTGTGTTTTTTTAATTTATTTATTTATTTTTCCAAGAGAAATATCAAACATAACAATAGAGGTGGTAATATAAGTTACGTGGTAATAAGATGAGAAAGTTTTGATGAGAGAAAAGGTAATGATGTCATGAATGACCAGCCTCTTGAGGATAACCCATAAAAACCTGCTTAAATTAAAACTAGGTTTATTTCCAATGGGGTCCTTGGAGGAGGATCAGGTTATGTTATCATAGAGGGATGGAATATGACAATAAATATTGAAATGTGTGTCTACCATAAGGGATGTGAAGTACAAAGAGGTATGAACGACATTGGAGTATACATACATAAACTAAAACATTTGTATTTGTTTTGCTAGCATGTGTTGTTTAACATTTTTCTTAAAAGTGGCAATGTTCTCTATTGATTTCAGTTGGTTTGGAAGTTCATTCCAGGTCTGAATACTTGAATAGTAGTAAGTTGAGTATTGGGTATTATTTTTGAATTTTGGTACAACATAATTATAAATGCTTGATCTAGTACTATGTAGATGAGCATCCCTGACTAAGCGAAAATTGGCTTTCATGTACACCGGAGACCCATTATGAAGGATTTTGTGAACATGGCTCAATTTCATTTGCTTGACTCTATTTATTATCAAGATTTAAACTATTTAAATCTTTATACAAATTTGGGGTAATTGAATCTCTGGGACCTAAGCCGTGTTTGAATCGGATAACTTTGTTGTGAATAATTTGCAGTTTGTTCTTCAGCTATTTGTTTAAGCCTGAGAACCAAGCTGAGCATGCATAGTCTAAGCGGCATTGTATAAGAGCATTGGTTAATAATTTCCTAGTATACTTTGTTAAAGACTTGTTATATCTAAATAAAAATTTCAATCTGGTATTGACCTTTTTATTAATATTATTAACTATTAATTCACCAGAGAGATAATGATCAATATATAGACCCAAATATTTTACACTATCTGTTGCTTGAATGACTTAATCATTACACACTATTTCAAAACTACTAGTTTTCTTTAGTTTTCTACTTGGGCCAAATAACATACATTCAGTTTTACTTAAATGAAGGGATAATTGTCTACTAACCAAACAAGCCTTTAAGGCAAGGCTCCGCTAAGTTTTACAGATACTATTTCAGGATTTGGAATAGAAAACATGATTGCACTGTCGTCAGCATAGAAGATTAATTTACAAGGGGCAGGTATGCTAATGATCATGTCATTCACATAACAGAGAAACAACAGGGATGCTGCCCTGTGGAACACCACAAGAAATGTCCAAGGGGTCTGAGAGAGTTTTACCAACGTTGACAACTTGTTTCCTGTTGGAAAGATATGAAGGAAACCATCCTGTGGATCGGACGCCGATCATTTCAAGTTTTTTTACACAAGATATCATGGTCCACTGTGTCAAACACTTTTTGCAGGTCCAATAGGACCATACCGGTAAAATTCCTTTTAACATTTTGATCCTTGAGATGATCCAGCAAACTGATCAAACATGTGTCAGTTGAGTCTCCAGTTGTATATAAACAGCCTTTTCCAGAATCTTTGACACAATACTGAGAAAGCTCACAGGCCTATAGTTGATCACAAGAAGAAAATTGTTTTTTTTATATAATGGTTTGACCCTAGCCAATTTCAGCTCATCCGGAACTGAATTCTCTGAAATGGATAAATTGATCAAAAATGTAATGGGTATTTTAAGGACACCAGCACCGTCTTTTAAAAAGCGAGCTGGAATGTCATCTAGACATGTACTTTTGACAATGTTAAGTGATTGGATATTACAATATTACTATTTGTCTTTTTGCCTTTCTTATAGCCAAATTCTTTTAAACTTTTCCATAAATTTTTGGGGTTATTTTTGTGTTCTTTCAGTTTATTACTCAAATATGTACATTTTCCCTTTTA